ACTTACTTACTTACTACTACGTAACGTACGTAGTACTAGTATATATATATATATATATATATATATATATATATATATATATATATATATATATATAATGTATATTGGATATAAGCGTAGGGCAGTAGCTTGATATGTTAAATCTTTATGGGTGGATTTAGGAGTATTCAAAAGAAGCGTCTGATTCTGAAATCCAAGAGAAAGGCAATCGTAACCAGGCAGACTATAATATTGTGTGGTTTGTCGCACAATTCATGATCGATATATGATACACAGGCAGTACATTGTTTAGACTGCGCCCTCGTATTCTCATCACCTGACTGGACAAAGCCTTCCCGTCCGATGCATAGCCGTGCGCGCACAGTAATCCTTAATAGACAGCATGCCAGTTTCTGAAGGATCCTATTACTGGATTTATTCAGTTCATGTGGGAAAAACCTTTGTTGAGTTTAGACTTGAGAGATCGCCGATATCCGTTGGTCTGTGTGCACGACCAACATTGACGTCTGTGGGTGCTCCTAGGACCGTGTTGGTGTAAGCAGATGCATGCATATCAGACAAGGGTGTCGAATTATCTACCGATGGCTCCGCTCGTAACCATGAAAGGCCAATACGTGTCAGTGCACAGTTGTGCATACCCACATCATCCCTTGCATTGCTGGCTGCACATGTGCCGCAGCAAGCATCTGTTTGGGGAATGCTAGGAGTTGGTGCAATCTCACACGACTGAAATTGCTGTGCTTGAGTATGAACGCCTTCGTAGGGGTTAGTAAACGGTCTTACATATACTTGCGGATATAAGTTATGACATGTACATGCATGTGCGTAATTATATATAGAGACTGGCCGATGTCGTTGACATTGACGTGCTTGGTACTGCGAGACTGGCCCTCTCGAAGGCATATGCGGGTGTGAATTTGCAATAGCAGGACGTACCTTAGCTTCGTCCTTACTCCAAAAATTACCATGACATACGCCCGTGCAGTTGCCAGACCTCTCCCGGGGCGCATACTTTGAGACATAATTTTCTCTGTGCATATCTCTCGCGTTAGATAAGGAACTTGCTCCATGCCCGTCGTTTTTGAGCACTGCTTGACCCAACATGACATTGTGACAAGCGTCTGACTGCTCTTTACTGGTGAAATTGGCACCGTATCTCCGACTATGTCTGGCACTAGACGTGCATTCATTCAGCAGCACATAACATTGTCCCCGCTTATACCTGTGCCTGTGGTTGCGTGCGCTCCTAGCTGGCACATGTCCAGTGCATTCGAGTAAGCCCCCAACGGGCACACGCTGCCTCCGCACATCAGCCGTCTGAGATCTGTATGTGTCATCAATCTGACCAGTTACGGTATTTTCCACCAACATTCCAGATGCGGGTGCAATAGCTTTCGCCGCGCTACAATTCGCCTCCGTATCCCCGCGCGCTATTAACGGAGTACTTTCTCGTAGATCCATCCCCGTGTGCTCCTCCATTCCTTCTTCTTCAATGTCTGGTTCCATAGCTTCCACTCCCGTCGTTGATGCTTCCGTTGTCCTTAATTGCATACTTCTCGCTTCAACTACTCCTGATTCCACCACGCGCCATGGTCCGGGCATCTGCGCATCCTGCTCGAGCCCATCGCAGTGATTTTTCGTATGCGATCTATTGCGTGAGTGTGTGTGCACCATGGCTTGGAATCCTGTACGAGTCTTCCGTTTTCTCTTCGCCCTTTCGTTTTGGACTGCATCTAACTCTACAGCTTTGCCCGGTGAGTCCATTGCTTCGCTAGCATTCAGACGCACACCAACTGCCCTGATTTTGCTCGTGCTAGCTAATGAATTTTGTGTATCGAATGGCATCACAAACCCATCCTTGTCATTCGTGATTGTGGAGCAAGTGACGATACCGCCCTGACTTTCTTCTCTCCCACTCTTCCTTTCTATGGGAATGCGATGCACATCGACTTCTTCGATCTTGCTAACTACGTCGACACATACATTGTTATGCGCCGTCTCCCTCCGCGGTTCTGTGTATTCATCCGAACTATTAACTTTTAGTGACTCCTTACCTTCAGACGGTAAGACAAGCGCTGTTGCCTCTGTCTGTGATATGTTACCCGCCGGCACTATCCCATCCACAGTACATGTGTCGTTATAATCTAAATTATGTAGCCTATTCCTGGTAGCCCGTACTGTGGCTCGGTCGGCAAGTCCCGGCAGACATACTTCTTGTCGTTTCTGCATGTACTTTAACCTTGGTTTGTGTGCTTGCTTGGGTACCTCCAGTTCCGTACCTAAGAGCAACTCTGCAGTATCCCACGAGCGATCACCAACGCTCGCGTCCACGGCAACACCCGTGGAGCCTGTGGGAGAATCAACTACGGCTACACTCTTTGCGCCTACCTCCTCACCTGCCCCATCCGCAGCGGTGTTGGGGCTTACACTCCTTCCCGTACTCGGAGTGCCAATGACGGCATCCCCAGCACATAGCTCTACTTCCTCGTGTGTACCTATCGCCCTATTGCTCGAGCTGATATCCGTGCGTATATGAGCGGACAAAGGTGTCCCCACAAGTTTATCGTCCGCATTGACGGTATCTGTTTCCAAATCAATCCTGTCATTGGTATTTGAATTGGACTGTCCGATCTGACGTGGGCCGGCGCTTGAATCCAGGTGCAGGGTCGAACTTGAATCTATCTCGTGCGCATCGCTGTCGTGCGTTAACCCTGGCGATATACATTGTACCATAGTAGTCGTATCCGACTCACCCACGCCAGTGCCCTCCAATGCTGATTCCTTGCGATCGACTTCTGACCCTGCAATCGTAGCTGTATTCGAACTCGCCATTGTATCGGTGTCTGAGCTTGATTTTGCTAGTAGGTTCGCAGACGAACACAAACCTGCATTAACCCCTATCTTGATACTCGAAGTCCCATCCACAGGATTCACTCCATCTGCAACCGAGCGGCCCTTGGTAGTAGAACGCGAAAGTGCAGTAGCCTCCGTGATATTCTCGTTACCATCGGCCACAGAAGCATCCGAACTCATATCCTTGTGTGTCTGTATATCTACACACGCACGAGTCAAAAGATCAGGAGGTATATCTCTACCCAGTTCACAAGTCTTGAAATCATAGGCCTTGCACAATTTATGCCAATCGTTGGCCTCCTTTTCCATCACCATGGTTACAGCCACACCCAAACTACCGAAACGCCCGCTTCGCCCCACTCTGTTAGCATGAAAGTTGAGGAGTGCGTGGGACAGAACTATGAGCAACGTGAAATGAGTGCTCCACGGCAGCGACCGATTGGCGGTTATACCTATTCGGCGGTACATACACTGAGATTAGTATCGATTGTGTGCCGAACTAGTGAAATGTGGAAACAGCAAAACGGAAAAGCTACCTATCACGTAATTCACATGGACGTTATCATATCCAGCTGATTTGTCATATCACGTTAGAATTAAAATACTTTGATTTTCTTCCTGCGGAGAAGGTACTTCGAGCATGTAGAGGATATCGACAATGGCAAAAACAATCACAAACTACTCACGAGGTTGAAACCGATACGTACATCTCGCTACTCGACCACGAACGACATCGAAAGATTAACACCACAGATATCATGAACTTGACCTGAAGGCCCGTCCTTTCGTCCGCAATACACCTCAAACCCCCGCCAGAAGGCCTGTTTGTCCCGATCTTGACCTATCTCAACGATTCAGCAAAACCACAGAAAACACCTAAATAACTGCAACTGCGAACTAAAGCATACCTGTGCATATAGGTATCGGCAGATTTGGGTATGTCGAAATTTATGACGAGATTAACATTTTCCAGATCTACCCCGCGAGCAGTCAGATCTGTGGAGACAAGGACCCTCAACTGCATATTACGGGTGCGTTTGATAACATCAGAGCGCTCATCTTGTTGCATTTGGCCAGAGATGTACTCGATGGATAGGCCCTCGTGGTTGAAAATCTCAGCCATCTTCTGTCCTTGTCCAAAGCTGTTGGTAAATACCTGTAGTCGTGCGTGTATACAAAATTTGTAATGAGACCTCGCTCAGATACACAATAAATATAACTAAGATATACAAGATATATATAAAACTATATATGCATATCAATATGCGAGTGAGTATATATATATATATATATATATGCATATATGGTGTAAACCCATTTACAGATAAAAACACACAAACGCATACACATAAATGTATATATATATAAATATACGATCATTTATCCATACATGTAATGCAGTACTCACAGCTTTGTAATGCCTACGATGTGTCGAGTACACATATACATATACATACATACATATATATATATACATATACATATATACATATATACATACATAAATATATATACACACACACACACACACACACACACATATATATATATAATGTGTTAATAGAATTTGGAGATTTAGCCATACACACCAAACCACATAATTGAACACGGGAAGAAAGTATCTATATCCCTGCGTGTGGTCCTCTTTATAGGTGAAAATAAACATGGAAACACAGAAAATACATGAGAAGCTCATATTCAAACACACAAAATCGATGTTTCAAGACATCAACATATAACGCGTATGTAGGCATACACATGTGAACTAACTCAGCTACTACAGAAGGGTTGGCTGAAAAAATACCATGCACTGTTGAAAGGGAACTCGCGTCAAAAGCTCGCGGGTGGCTCTGAGTTTGGTTTCGAATGCCGTGGGCGTCTGATCAGATACGTGCAGCAAACGAGTATACTGTCGCACATTAACCAGCGACGGATCGTCCGCACTCAGGCGCACGTGTACAGGGTTGTTCAGGTACGCATCGAGACTCTTGGCCAGGCTAGGCGAGTAGGTGGCTGAGAAGACCATGAACTGTATGCTACACGTGGAAGAGGCAGATTGTGTCTAGGGTTTAGAGTCGATGGGTTGCTATAGCCCAGAGGAGACCGTTAGCAGCATCAAAGTCTGGCTGTAATTGTGATATCCGAGGTGTGTATATACAGGCAACACACCTCCTCGACGCACACGAACCACCACAAACACTCCTCCCAGCCGTCGTACAACACAGAAACTATAAATTGTCAGCAAGGAATGTACCCTTGCAAACCAAGACTATTCAATTATATATCAAGCATTTGGGATTCGATACATCGCGAGTGAATTTTTCGGTACTGTTTGTTCAGTGGCCACACTGATGATCGCGCTACATGGGTGTGACTGTCACGGCCTCACGGATTCTATAGTTACGCATTGCCGCCCAAAGATACGCATACTCGCCACAGATAAACATGCACAATCATATAAATGCACATCCGTCACGAGACCACACAAGCAATACAAAGAGCGTATAGCACAAACGTTCGCACGCGAAAGCACACGCACGCAGTCAATGAGCACACGTATTCCCATCATGCAAGACGGAAGAATACATTTAGAGCCAAAGGCCGTACATGTATCACACCTTTCCGGTAAATGGAAATGCACCTCTCCAATCTCATGTTTGAAGTCTGCGTCCATTAACTTATCGGCCTCATCCAGCACAAACATGGTCAAATGTTTTGTGACGAATAAGCCTTCGTTGATCAATTGCACGACCCGCCCAGGGGTACCGACTGCCACGTGTCGATTCGTCTTCAGCTGCTTCCTAGCATATGCGACATCACATGGGTATAGAAATAAGAGGTATGTATCACATATACAAATGTATATATGTACACATACAAAGAAATATACAATTAGGTTCAACGCATATCGCTCCTCGGCTCAGGAGTACATCGTAAGATTGAAATTACGAAACAATTATTCCATCAATATTTTGTCATACCACGAATCTGGTACAATCCGTTAATTGACACGTCCCTTGGCTGACGGGGCAGACTAAAGTCTCACAACACCATTCACAAAACGATCACGTTGATGGACAATTCATCACGTTGTAACTAAATAGCTTGTAGTCTCTTCAGACGATGGCATTGAGCAGGTAAGCATTGCCTCAGCGTAATGATTACATGACGATCAACTGACACGCACAGGTACTATCGCGTACTGAGGAGATACCATGGCACGTCAACGATCGATCAAATACTAAGTAGAAAAACAGAGCTTCCGAGTTAAGATGTTCCTACGTTTACCTGTTCTCAGATATCTTGTTGCCCCCGATCAGGGCAACACATCTCAGGCCCTTAATACATGCACCAATAGTCAGGAAGACATCGTGGATCTGGTTGGCAATCTCGCGAGTGGGCGCCAGCACCAAAGCCTGCAGAATTCAGAAGACGATGTACATTATAAAGTTATTACCAATAGTATAAACGGTACATTTAAAATTGAGCACGCTAAACGATCCAAAGGTAATCCGGACGTATGGGGTAATATGGGAATGTACCAAATAGAGGGGTGTGGTGGGGGGGGGGGGAACCTGCAGCGCATTGCGATAAGGAACCGGAATGTACAGGACAGTCAAAGACAAGTAGTTTAGAATGTAAGGCCCTGTCCCCTAAAAAAACTGCAGATATAAGCCAAATTAGCAAGGATTGTTGACCGTGCACAGTGCGAGAGACAACGTACTTGAATGTCTTGTTTCGATGGGAATCTCAGATCCAACCCGGAATGAAGTCAAATACCCAACTGTAAAAAGTGTACCGCCGGGATGACTATACATGCATATCCGAGGGGCTAAGTGCTTTTAAGCTGTGGCATGTGATACATGCACAACAAATACACACATGCCTACTCCAGTTGGGCTATTGCACATGTGCAGGTACGCGATTAAAACTCAAGGCGGTATACACACGTGAGCTTCTGTTGTGTACATCTACATGCCACTAAACACAGTCGGTGCCAAGAGTATCGTATATTGACCTGGTACGGTTTCGAACGACCACTGTAAGCACACGACCAAGAAGCTTAAACAGAAGATTAAGGTCGTGAGGCAATCCTAAAACAGCTAGCAAGGTTCACTGAAACTCGTCCGAACGTTCACTATTTATGAATTACATGAGTGCAAAGCAGCCCATTACACAGACTGCCGCCGTCATAGATAATGCAACTACGAACACACATCCCTTAAAAAAACAGCTAGATATACAAACGCAATATACGTTGTATACAAAACAACCATGTACACACCTGTAATATCCATTCAAATAAACAACTACGCACACACCTGCTACACACAACATACTTGAGTACCGTTCAAATGCATCTGCAAACCTTCCAAAACCACCACAGTGAACACGCAGGTTTTGCCGGTGCCACTTTTCGCCTGAGCGATGAGATCAAGCCCACACTTTCCCAGGGGTATAGCCTGCAGTTGTATAGGCGACGGCCGTATGTACCCAGCCCTATGTAATCCTTTAAGCACAGGAGCTGATAGCAGAAGCCCCTCAAACGTTACATCTTCACTGACCTGTACGTCGACGCTGCGTGTTTTGTTCTTGTCATTGACATTGTGTGCGCGTATCAACGGCATGACAGTATACTAATATACACACGACGACCAACTCTGGTTGTTCAAAAGGAATCCAGTAGCTCGTTGTTAGTGTGATGAACGACGGCAATGCCTTGAACTACGACATGCAAGTAATATATATCACAAGTTTGTCATAGCATGATACGCTATCATTCATTTGGAGTAGCTTACTGTAATACTACGTATACATATACACTATCTAGTGTATGTATTACATATACACCGTCTGTTTAGTATTTACGAAAGTTATGTAGTGTTTGTTTTACAGTACAAATGCGATACGTCCTGCTGAATCCGAACGGCAAACTAAAAAGTTTCAGCGCATGTTCTTTACGAGTCTCATAAATTAAATAAAGTTTAACGTAAACGTAAACGTGTATTTTTTTTGCTTTACTTTGAAGTTTATAAAAGGGCTGGACACCTGCATCAAATAATATTATAAATATAAGTTAAACGTAAATCTATATATTTGTATGTATAATCTGTTTTTAAAAACGTATATAACGGGTTGAGCTTAGGCGTCAGGCCGTCAGCATCAGCGTCTCAAGTCTCATAAGACTCTCTGCAGATATGTATGTCGCCTGCAGCACAGGTTTTGATTGGATTGCTACTTTTTTGATGACGCAATGTTACTATCATTGCTTTGCAATTGACGCTGTATGAATAAGCATGATGAAGTCAAGCTGGAATAGTCCCCCCGGCTGACGGTCTGTCGCCCGACATCGATATAATATGTAGGCGTCAAGATTGTTCGCACAGTTAACATCTGTTTACTAATGCGTATATAACATGCATTGCGGAGCTTCTGTTCCCATAGATGGCTTGAGCGACTCAAGATGAGCTCGGTGAGTCCACTAGTACATGGGTCGATCTGTACAGTGATTGGCAATCCGAAGCTTTATTTTGTCTGGTGCGAAAATGCAGCACTCAGTTTGAGATAAGTTGCTGTTTACAAATGCACGCAACCTCATCAGCCATCAGATCAACTAGTCAATTCACCTGCGTCCATTTTCGGGTGTACTGTTTGCCTTCTCTGCAGTTATGAGAGGACTTTATAGGAAACAGTACACTTTTATATCATACTTGCGGCTATCATAAAACACCTACTTCACAAATTTTATCTATTTATTAGAGTGGTGTATTTACTTGGCACTCGCTTTTTTAATTTTCGTGAATATCCACATACATGAGAAGACAATAATAAAGACATTCCTGTTGTTATTCAGCTATATACCATAAATGCATCACTAAATTCATCCTGGGAACCTAGTAGAATATATTCATTTGTATTTATAATCGAGTTATATTTTCAAAGCGAGAGTACTATACATACATAGTATTTGTTATGACTATCAGTTGAGGTAGAGTCACGGATATCATTCATGCATGCTTACTAACGGTCGTGTATATACACTGTGCGGGTGGTATGAAAATCCGCATCTTTCATTTGAATTTCTAGTGTATG